GTCCATAGGTCCTGAACCGTTAGTGACAGCGTGAGGCTTGCCAAAGTGGTTGGAGTGGTTCGAGGATTTGAAGATGTTGCGATGCAAATTGAAGTGGGGCTTTCTGTCAGGGATTTTGTTTGGAGTCGAGTGCTTGTGGTCATAACCCTTGAAGCCTCGATTATTAATTTTGACAGTTTGTTCTGCTTCTCTAGCAACAGCGTATACTAATTCCATGTCTTTTTTTGATCGTATGTCTTCTTTATTATTTATTTTTTCTCGATAATGGGCCGGGAGCTTATCGGTGAAAGCAAATTTACGAGCTTGAAAGGAGAGAACATCCAAGGGCATGTATGCCATTAATCTTCTAAATCTGAGTATATAATCATTTATATCTCCTTTGTAATAACATATTTTTATCTTTTCTTGTATTTCTTCGACCATCATGTCGAAATTATATTGTTTTAAGAATTCGGTTTTGAAATCGTGGTAGTCCGATATGGTACCGCCTTGCGATTTCCGAGCTTCATGCCATAACATGTGAGACTCTTCATCTAGATATGAGCCGATCATTTCGCCCCAGACTGCTTCTGGATATCGATGCATTCAAAAATTGGATTCGAGTTCCGAAAACCAGAGTTCTGCATTATCGCCGTAACCCGTAAATTTTCTGGGTTTGGCGCGAAAGGCGTCGGGTTTTTGATAATGTTTGGTGGAGCGGTTGTGTTGTTGGGCCTCAAATTGGCGGATGACTTCCGCTTGTTGTTGGAAGATTTGTTGGTGTTGGTTTCTGAGATCAGAAATTTCGCGCGTGTGATTTTGGTCACGGTTTTGCGCTTCTATGCCGAACTGTTCGAGTTGGGCTTTAATTAGACAGAGGTCCTCTGCGGGGATGTTGACATATCCGTTGTGGTCTTCCATTTCGAAAAAGTGACTGTTCACAGAATCGAAAGAAAAAAAGGAGTAAGTAAAAAACGAGGGAAGACCTGATCAGGGTCTTATAAGATGAGGTGAGCGTACGGTATCTAACTTCTTCAAAAAGAACTAGTTGTGTTAACGGTGATTTAAAAATCAAATGGGTTTTTTTATAAGCGCGATAAAATGGGTTTGTTAGAATCGGTTGTTGGTTCTGTGTGCGTAAAAGGTAAGGGAATTCTTTTAGTTACTTCAACTAATCGAGGGAAAGGTGTCGAAGGAGATCGGGATGACTAGCTAGGAAATAACGATGACTTACAACGGGGTTAATCTGTTTTTTTGTGGGGATGTTTGTATCTTTTGGTTATAGGGTATTTTGATGAGGGTTTCTAGAAAACGATCCAACAGAAGTACAGAGTTAGGATTGTAGGTTACAGATTAACGGGAAACCTTTTCGATATCTGGTTGGTAGAGATATTAAAGTTTGAAGGAAAAAGAATTTTAGAAAAAACACACAAATATATATTTGATTCTACTCACAATGTTAGGGTGCAAATTATGAGCAGGAAGTAACTTGAGGCTTTGATTACTTGGGAGATGCGAAGTCTTTATATAGACGAGCATCTTTGGGCGGAGCACAAATAAGGAAATAAGGAAATAAAATAAGAATGGCGAGAACACCGAGATACAAGATGTTTTAGGTAGTGACGCGCCGGATCCGGTACTGCAGGATCCGGTATTACAATTAGTGGTAATACGAGATAGAATAATGTAAGGTTAGATCGAGACGGATCCGGTACGGTCCGTTTCAATTACAACAAGGAGGAATATGAAATATAAGAGAAAGGAAATAAATGGAAAGCGCTTAAAAGCGATGAAAAGATATTGGGCATATCGAAAAGCGCGTAAAGAGAGAACAAAGGGTTATGCTCAAAATAGGGAATCACACAGTCTGTAAAATCTAGCCCAGCCCGCAATTCTCAAGGTATCCTTCTAAAAAGCTACTTTTGAGATGCCCACATCCAGAGCACCTCAAAAGTAGCTTTTTAGAAGGATCCGGCAACATTTTTGTTTTTTTTATTTTGACTTCACATTAAATTGTCAACACATGTATCTTAAACAGTCCAGCATGTGTAATGGTACAACAAAGTGGTAACATTTCTGAGGACACAGTGGTACAACACTCGTACAAAAGATGAGAAAAAAGCAACAAGATTGAGCTTACAAAAAGCAAAAAAGCAAAAAAAACAATATAAAAGCCAGTTGGTCTTTGGAAATTGCTGCATTTCGAAAGTCAGTCAATAGATCCGGCGATGAGACTTATATATTGTAGCGGTAGGGTCTGGACCAAAGTGCTTTTCCCTGAACAGATAGATCAAAAGGGAAGTTATTCAATATCTGAGTCATTGAAGTGAAAAAGAGAAACCCACATTAATTCATGTCTGATTTGGTCACATCAATTGAAGAAACGACGGACTGTCACCACAGGACAGCTTGTCCTAAGCTTTTCCCATAGATCTTTACTTTGTTGGAGGGTACCAGCTGTGTGGCTTACATTGCGGAATCCTAAAGTCGATTTGAAACAATATTTATCTTTGTTAGCAGTTGATCATGCAAGATAGATTGAATAGACTCGCCTCCCTTAGTAAAGCACCAAATGTGTTCGATCGGATTCAATTCACAATGGAACTTAGGGAGGAAAGTGCACATGTGACCAGCTTCTTCAATCACTGTTTGTAGCACTGGTTTTTTGTTCTTGAAGTCTGATTGATTTGATAAGATCTTGTAAGCACAACAGTTGAGGCCTTGACCTTTGGCTGGAATAGGTTTGGCAGAGTCCATAATGTCTTGAGGATTTGGTGTTTCAAAATTTTGAATGAGACGTTTGGCTCTGAGTATTTTCTCTTTAGCAAGTCCACTAAGTTTACATTGGTCACACTTGGGATTAAGGTGTTTTAGACCTCTTAAAGCACGCTTCTCATTATAAAAGGTCCATAAACCCCGCTCGACAAGGACTTGCTGGACCCCTTTGGGTTCATTTGCTAGCTGTAGATCAGGTTTATTCTTGATCTTCTTGACACCAAGATAGTCTGAAGAGAAGCTCATCGATTGAACTTGTCCACAAAGACATTCAGGGATATTGGGATCGTCTGTGGGGATTGTTGTGCTTCAAAGGTGAGGCTGTTCTCCAGAAGGTCTGTCAACTGTGAGATGCTCTGCAGAGCAGAGCATCCAATACAAATGACAAATTACAATACAATATACAAAAAAAAGCATTACATATCCATCTCTCTCACTCAAGTCTCAAGAGTGTAAGATTAAAAAGCAAAACTACTATATCAAAACGTATGTAGTGGTTTATTTTACCGTTTTACCTTATTATCAATCAAGGGTCCAGGAGTATCAAGACACCTTGAACCAGGCAAAACACAGGACCAGCCATTACCCAGCCAACGGACACTAGTTTTAAAAATTAACGATCCCTGGCTAGGCAAAACGGAAAACTTGGCGCAGCCAAGGATCCAATTATTAGAAACTAGAAAATGGTTAAATAGAAGCGTTCGTTAGTAAGAAAGAAAAGGTCATCCGTTATCACATCTTTAAAAAATACCCTTTACCTTTAAAAAACCCTTTTTTCATCTTTTTCTTAAAACACTTCTGTTGAAAGATTAAAAACTCCATTCCATCTATCCATTTTCTTTTAGAAGCTTCAGAAAACTATTTGTTGATTCAAACTTTGTTTCCTCTGTTTCGAAAGATCATTCTCTCTATTTTCTTGTTATCTTCTCCCTAGAGGACTTCAAAGATTGTGTAGTTCTGCCTATTCGACTGGAGCTCTTTGCCAAATTCCTTTTTTGATCAAACTTTGATTCAAAACCAACGCTAAAGCATGGCCTAAAGAATAAACACAGAGGAACCTCTTCGTGCTCACTTTAGAAGGCGATCAAGTAAGTGTACTTGAATCAGCTAACTGGCAGCAGTAATCATCCTGCACCAAAGATGTTTATAAACTAACAATTTATAAAATCCTTATTTACAGAGAACCGAAAATTAACTCCCTAGTATCTAACTTCAATTCGAGTCAAACTAGGTAGATACATTCTGTAAGTATCATTCAATCTACAGATTTCTGAGAAGGTTCAACCCTTTTTTGGAACTCAGGTTGACAAGGTCCCATATTCATCTTTTCAACTCGGAGAGCATTTTGCGCAAAAGATTCGTGCGCGGACAAGCAGTCGAAGATAAACAAGGCTTGGCATCCCGGGTTCATATAGTTGAAAATCGGAATTGCTCGCTCTTCAATTTGTTTCTGAAGTTGAAGGCTATTCCAGTATGCGTCCCCGTTTTCTCCAGGGTAAATCACGAGGGCAGCATCCTTGAGTTGAAGAGGACAGTCGGAATCCTGATCAGGTACCACGAGTCGACCATGTTTCTTTTCAGTGAAATCCAAGGTGTGAATCAACTTGCCATCATCCTTGCGCTTAAAAGAACAGTCTTTCTCTGCAAACCATCCCTTCAGAGGTTCTTCGTGGGTGTGAATTGTACACTCGTCTTGATAAACACGTATAATTTCCCGATCAGATCCTTCAAGTTCAGGATACCCAATTTGGTCACAATTCGGTCGGAGGTAGTGAATTTCCCGCTTGCAGAGTTCTTTGAGTTGGCTGCCGTATTGGTGTCGATAAAGTATTACGTCAGCACGTTCGTGCCCATCGTAATAGAGGCATTTTGAGTATGCTTTGACAGTAAGGCCTAGGTTGTGCATCCATCGTTGAGCCGTTCTATCTGAGATGAGATTTTTATACTGATCAAATCGAGGTAGGATCACATCGGCAAGGTGAATTACAAGCATCCTGGGTGAAACCTGATGCAAAAGAACAAAATAAAATCAGTCGCCTCATAATTGACAAGAGTCAAGATAAGAATCACTCACCTTGCCAACCTTATGAGTGGATATCCATTCAAAAATTGCTTGAGACACCTCTGTATCATCTAGAATGGAAAAGTGCTGGGTGGCTAAGCCATTTCCTCGGGTCGGTAATCTTTTGTAAGTGATGACATGCGAGGCTTGTTTTCTTAACCTCTCCGCGTGAGACTTTCCAACTTCATATCCTGTTAGAGGTGCTCTTTGTCGCCAAAAAGATGACTTAATCGTTGCAATTGAGGCATCCATGGACGCAGTCCCTTTTCTAGCAAGTTCCATTTCTCTTCGTGTGTAATTGAAATCTCGTAACTCTGAAAGTTCATCAAATTGTTGGATAGCCTTCGAGTTCAATGTTTTGTAATCATCATAGTAAGCTGCAGCCTCTTCGATGGCATCTTTGAGAATCTCCCATTTCTGGTCAATCGCAGCAATTTGACGAGAGGTCTTGACAACTTTCTGGGGCGGGTGAGGGATAGAGTCTTTGGATTGAGATTGAGATATGACTTCAACTTTGGATTCAGCTTTATCTTCAGAGTTGTTAGTTTCATCAAGTTCTGATTCACTTTGTGACTCGCAATCGGATGAAGATGTTAAACTTGAAAGGTCTGAGTCGGATTCATCAGAGCTCTGATTGCGCCACGGTTCATTTCTATACTTGGGTCTCTTGGTAGGTCGTGAATTGCCGCGTTGTCGATAGCGTTGAGCCTTCTGAGACCTGGAAAGAGCCATCAGGTTTTCTTGAGTGGTGATATCAAGTCAATTGATATTGAGGAAAGGCTATTGATTTACAAAAATACATATGATTTCATTGCTCACAGCAATTTCAACTGTATGCGGGGCTACAAACCGGGTAAAAGTACTCATCGGGCTTTTCCTTATCTTTGCTGTCTCCCACCATACAAGGCCTCTTTCCAAGATATTGTTATGCAAGAAAATGCCATAGATCCATACCTCAGAAAGAATATGTTTAAGGGTCTGAGAAAATCTGACTCTTCACCCCATAAGAGCACCCATAAACCCTCTATCCTTTGAATAGATCCCAAGGTGACTGGACCACCAAAGATGTGTAGGGAACAGAAATAACAGAACCCACCAAGGATCCTAGGAAAGCTGTGGAGTTGTTACCACAAGGACATTGGCACCTTAACACACACTGGTTTTTTAGAGCCAGTATACGGTGGTTTTGGACAAGGATCAGTGTCTTTGTTTGTATTTGAGGTTCCTGCCCAGATTGTGCTAGCCTTGGGCAGCATTTAAGTTTCTGACCTATTCTTCAATTTCACTGCTGTTCTTTGGGATATTCTCACAATCTCAGAGTAAACATAGTCAACTCTCTCTAAATGCTTACATTTTGGCAGCAGGATTTTAATGCATTTAGAGGATTATGAATTTACACAACAAGTCTCTCTAAATGCATAGGTTCAAATTCTGACATCAAAGACCAAAGTGATTGTTTGGAGTCAATTGATGTACTCAGTCTAAGAGAAGCAAAAAATTACAGATTCAAGTGACATCAACTTGTTCTAGAATTCAAGGCTAGGCAGTCCACTGCCTTCAATTGGCAGTGCTCAAGTTGGCAAGATACAACTTCAAGTCCATGATTTTTTGGAATTCAATGAAACATATATGCTTCAATCAAGTCAACCTTCAATCAAGTCAACCTGACTTGAATTATACACAGGGTTGCTTATTTATATATACCTCAATTGAGTTGAACAAATTAGAGTTTCATTTATGTACAAAAGGTCAAAACTGATGCTTGATGAAAAACCTAGACTTGCAAGTGCTCATCAATTGTTCTTGAAGACTGGGTCTTTTTGATTTTTGTTATCTCTTCATTTTGATTTTTTTTATCATTGATACAATCACAGATTAAGATTGATCAATACAAGCAAAGATTGAAGATACAGAATATATGCAGGGAATCATTGATATCTGTTGATTTGATGATGGGTTTGTGAAAGTTTACAGGAGTGGTGCGGTGATGAGGCCAATACAATGGTGATAAAATGAAAGAAAGAGTGTTGTGATAGATGGTAATAGTATGGATTTTATTTCTGGAAGATAGTACACCACTTGCCATATCAACAATATGGAACTGAATACAGAAAAAGAAGCAAATATACACAAAGAAATAATGAAAGAGACAATAACAGATTGAGGATGACAAAAATCTGAGCTGATGAAGTACCTAGAATGATGACACAAAAGACATCATACCCTGGCATCACAGCCCTGGACTATGTAAAAGTTGAGGCGCACATGGTTTGAAATTAACCTTGCTTTCAAAAGCAAAGAACTGCAAAACCACCATGAACAGCCCTACAGAATTCACAAAGAGTAAAAAGAACATATAAATTATGATTGACCAATGGATTGAAATAAACAAAACAAAAAGCATGTACTTACATTCACATTGACATCAAAAGGAAAACCAATGAACAGTACAAGCTCCATCAACACAGAGCTGTAATCAAGTGATAGCAGACACCATTGGTGCACCAAATGCACCTTCCAACAATATCATCATTGTTCAAAACTTTTTTTGGAGCTAAAATTGATCTTTATTGAAAGAAAAGTAAGCCAAGACTATAATAAAACACACTGCAAACATGGCACCTTTATAAAAGGAAGTCAAGGGCCAATGGATGTACAAAAAAATAAATGATGAAATCAATTACACAGTTCAAAAAACAAAGGATTTTACTAAAAGCAGCCCCCCCTTCAAAGGCTTGACCGCCCCCTTTTAGTTGGGGAAGAAGAATACAATATAAAAAAGGCTGTCAGTTATTGATCCGTGTGAATGCAAAACTGAACATCAAGGGGGCGGTCTTGAATTCAGGTGAAATGGAAGCCAATTGTTAAAAGCATCGTTATCACCTCCTCCTGCTTTCATGGCTTAAGATCTGTTGTTGGATTTGGTGCTTGGTGATTCAAAAATCTCCTTCCCTGGCGTTGTTTACAATCACAAATTTCCTCTTGCCCCCCTTTCGCAATGATTGATAAATATTTCTACTTCTTCCTTGTTCTTTCTTGTGATGATTAAACACATGCGCACGTAAAGAAAATCGATCGCTAATAACCGAAGCAAAGATTTGATTGATAATGATAAAATCCTTCATTAGATCAAGGTTATATATTACACCTCACATTCAGACCAACATGTATCACGGTTGATAAGTGATGATGAAACACGATTGGATATTTCATTGCTCTATCGTCATCATCATATAGAGAAAGTCGATCAGAAGAACGTGCGTTATCAGGTGTTGCCTCTGCCATGCCAGAGACTGGAAGCAAGATAGTATCAATAGCATTCTGTAGCATCTCATCCAGTTTCCATTCCACCTGAATTCCAGACCGCCCCCTATGTGTTGTTTTGAATTCACACATATTCACACGCTTTTGTATTGTAAACGTCTTCCCCGACTAAAAGGGGGCGGTCAACCCTTCAGAGGGGGGGCTGCTTTTAGTAAAATCCAAAACAAAAAGAACACCAATTTGGTATTAAATTAACTCAGACCAAAAAACAGATTCAAGGACTTGGCTCATCATCATGCAAGTACCTTGTAACATCTTTATATTTAGATTTATTCATTTTTCACTTCCAAGTGCTTTTGCTTTCACGTATCACACTAACCAACTACGTAGGTTTACTGCAGAGGATGTCTCTTACAAATTTTTTTCTTTCACCATGAACTTCACTGTATATGTGGTACTGTAGTTACATATGCAGTGGAAGACTCAAGGGCTATTGGGATCTCAGATCCCTGATCAAGATCAAACAACAACAAATATCAGTCAGATAAACTAGGAGGGACAGTGATGGTCCGGAGAGGTTATTTGGAGATGATGTTTGTTGTGTGAGAAAACTTCTAAGATTGATGAAGAAGAAGTAAGAAGTTTTCTCGAGAGACAAGTTTGATATACTAGATCTGCCGATACAAAACAAGGTTAGGTTTAGAAACAAAATGTATTGAGTATCAGACATTGTACAAGTTTATTTTAATATGTAATTGTAATTCATCCTACGCAACACAATGAAATCTTATAACAGAAACTTGGTTCCAACAGCCCCCCCTGCTCACTACTTTTTGATTTGAGATAAACCTAACTGATCATAACTACTTGATAAAATGTTAGCTCCTACAGCCTTCGTCAGCACATCAGCAGGCATTTCCTTTGTGGAAACATGTGAAACCATAATTTTTCCTTCACGCGTCAATTCTCTTATAAAGTGATGTCTTATATCTATATGTTTTGATTTATTATTGACCGAAGCTTCATTGCACAAAAACACCGCCCCTTGATTATCATTTGATAGTGGAAGTTTGATGGGAACACTGATACTTGACTGCTGATGTAAATGTTCGAGTAATCGGCATAACCATAATCCATGCTTTGCACAATCTCCTATAGCTAAATATTCTGCCTCAGTAGTTGAAAGAGTTACACAATGCTGTCGACGACTTTTCCATGATACCAAAGATCCCTTCACAAAATACACAAAACCCGTAGTTGACCTCCTCGTGTCAATGTCCCCAGCGTAATCCGCATCAGCATATCCCTCAACTGGTAAGTTCTTAGCCTTGCTCGTCCCAAACATTAGGTCGAAAGATGACGTTCGCCGCACGTAGCGTAGTAGATGTTTGACTGCTGCCCAATGCGTTTGGTTGTGGCGGGAATTGAAACGTGAAAGATAACTGACCGCATAGGCTATGTCCGGTCTGGTCTGCACTGAAAGAAAATTGAGCATTCCGACGGCACACCGGTACTCCTCTATTTCCTCTGATTCCTCAAGAGACGGAGTTGTTAGTCTGATGTTTTGGGGCAATGGTGTCTTGACTCCATTGCATTGAGACATACCAAAGCGTTCGAGCATCGCGTCACAGTAATGAGACTGATCTAGAGTTATGGTTCGTTGAGACCGGTCACGTTTGATGTGTATGCCGAGGTGGAGAGACGGGTTTTCGTTCCAACGGAATTTGTAGTGTTGGCTGAGATTGGTTCGAAACTGCTTTAAGAAAGACTTGCTGTTTGAAAAAGCCATGCCGTCGTCAACGTGCATAGGTATATGTATGAATAAGTCTCCATCCCTCAGAGTGTACAAGGAGTTGTCAACAGGACAGACTTTGAATCCCATGCTTTTGAGTTTGGTGTCAAAGTCATCATTGAACTCTCGATGCGCTTGACAAGTACCGTAAAGAGATCTGTCGAGTTCTACTACATGTTTAGGCTTTGATGTATCTCTGAATCCCGTTACTTGACAAACATAAACACAATGCTTAATCTTCCCGTTCAGAAAAGCCGTCTCGATATCAAACTGCTCCATTTCTAGATCGTCCGTAGCAGCAAGAGCGTATAGGGTTCGTAAGGTGTCGGTCAGGCCAACTGAAGCATATGTGGAGTCGAAATCAACGCCCTTGATTTGATGATTGCCGCCAGCTACCCAACGAGCCTTGTACTTAGTGATTCGTGAGAATTCATCCCTCTTTTGTTTGAGTCGCCACATGCCGGGTAAGATGTCAGCATCTGGAGGAGGTTCCACAAGGCGACCTACTTCATGAATTTGTAAGGACATAAACTCCTCTGCCATTGCTGCTAACCATTCTTCTCGATTTGGACCTTTCATTGCTTGAGAGTATGATGGTTCATCATTTTCTGGACCATCGTCAGTCTGGCTAATCGAAGCTTGATTGAGTTCCGCGACGGTGTGATAGCCTATCAGA